GTGAGGGTTCATGCTGACTTTTAGGATATTTGTGTCAAAGCAAAATACAGGAATGTGCCAGGTCATAACGTAGATTTAAAGCACGTGTATCATCACTTGTTGTCTGTATTTCTTTTCCCCATAGTTGCAGATTGAGCGTGTGTCATCAAAGAAGCCTGAGGGGAAGTATCAGGGATTATTTCAGGCGTCCCGCTGCATCTATTCAGAGGAGGGACTCTCTGCTTTCTGGAAGGGCCACGTCCCCGCACAGCTCCTCTCCATCACCTTCGGGGCTGTCCAGGTAAAGCTGTAAACTATCTGGATAACAAGACTACCTATATTTACATGATTTACTTAAATGTGTATGTGTGCTTTGCAGTTTGCCAGTTTTCAGTTTCTGACAGAGGTGGTCCACAAGACGACGCAGTATGACAGCCAGACAGCAGGAGTCCACTTTATATGTGGTGGTTTGTCGGCCTGCTCTGCTACAGTGGTCTGCCAGCCTCTGGACACACTGCGGACACGCTTTGCAGCTCAGGGAGAAACCAAGGTAGAACGTTTTAACAGTAGTCAAGGATTTCCTGTGTCAACTCATAGCTGTATATTTTTTTATGGATTTGACAAGTTGTTTTTATTGGAAGAACAGTCAGCTACCAAAAAAGACCGTAGAAACTATTAAAGGAATCTGGGATCTGGGCTACTGTAGAAACATGGCAGACTCTGTGGAAGAGGACCTCCTCTGTATGTAGATGTAAATAGTTTCATGTGATTATAAACTAATACAACCAGTCATGAATATTATAATCCACCTCTGCCAGTATATCCCCCTGAATCCTCCACACTGGACCTTTAAGTTCAACAAACAAAAGACTGGAATATTTTCTCTTGCCTGCTAGCCGAGGTAGCTCGGAAGCTCATTGGCTCATAATAAGAAAGTATCAATTTTAGCAAATACTGAACTAAATAAATGTATAATGTTTAATTAGTTAACCTTTTAAAACTTGAGCAAATCGGCTTGATTTCTTTTAAAATCATGGGAAGAAGATGAGCAATGAAAGAAGAAATTACTCCCAAAAATTTGCAAGAAATTAGTAAAAGAGAAAATTAAAAACAAGAAAATTATTTTTTTTAAAAAAGAAGAAATTTAAGTTAAAAACAAACAAATAAGGAAATGACCTGGAAAGAGTGCTTAAAAAGTATTATAATTCTATAACATAATTTAAATTTAAATATAATAATAGTAATTATTATTAATAAAGTTTTTCCCTATTTTTTTTCTTTTTCCATTTTTATGATGTCTCAATCTATTATTATTATTATTTTCATTTATTCATTTACTTTTTTTTTTGCAATTTGTGGGACGTCTCGTTGCCTTCTTTCCCATGTTTTTGAAAAATTATCGCTACTTACAAAAGGCGTCTAAAAGCAGCACAGGAACAGAGATGTCACTCCAGGTTTTAAAGTATTAATCCATCCATCCATTTTCTGCTGCATATCTAGGCCCTGTTAATTCAATTAACTATATATTAAGGAACTGTTGTTGTTTACTGCTGAGAAGAACTGTCAAATCAAAAAAGGGATATAATTTGCTTACCTTGGGATTTAACTTTGTAAACCTCCTCTCAGGTGTACAGGAACCTGCGTCACGCTGTGTCTACAATGTGCCGCTCAGAAGGAGTGCTGACATTTTACCGCGGCCTGTCTCCAACGCTGTTGGCAGTGTTTCCATACGCCGGGCTGCAGTTCTTCTTCTACAATGTCTTTAAGAAACTGTTGACTCCATCATCCAAAGGTGGAAGCTGGAGAGGTCAGTTGAGATTGTTGTATTTATATGACATCACATTAAGCAGCTCGTACATGAAGTATTCACAGCTTATGACTGTTTATGTCTGCCTTCAAGGGCACCTGGGAAGCCTGGTCTGTGGCAGTGGAGCCGGGATGATCAGCAAAACGATGACATACCCCTTTGACCTGTTCAAGAAGAGGCTGCAGGTCGGGGGCTTTGAGGCCGCCAGAGTTCACTTTGGACAGGTAAGCTCTTCTACAGCATGTCTCACATGTTTGGCGCCCACATTTTGAGTCTTACGTTAAAGTATCGTCTCCTGTTTGTCATACGCAGGTGCGGAGTTACAGAGGCCTGGTGGACTGTATGGTTCGAATAGCCAAAGAGGAAGGCATCCACGGCTTCTTCAAAGGCCTCTCGCCCAGCCTTGTGAAGGCGGCGCTGTCAACAGGCTTCACCTTTTTTTGGTATGAAGTTTCCCTAAATGTCATGCATAACATGAAGGAGAGACGGAGAACAAACAGCCTCACCAAAGAGCTGAAGGAAAGATAGTGAAGGGAAAAACAATCGCACAATCACGCACATCCCAAACGGACTCCTGCCTTCTTCTTCTTCTTCTTCTTCTTCTTCTTCTTCTTCTTCTTCTTCTTCTCCTCTAGCACTAACATTTATCATCCGGGTCGATGTTCGGTGGTGGTTTTTCATTGTGTTTACATCTAAGAACGGGAAAACATAACCTCATTTTATTTGTGTTTGTGCTGTTGTCACACCTTGTGTTGTACAAGCTTTTATTTTATTTTTTTAACATGTTTTTAATATTTTAGCCTGGGTGTCTGAGGGATGCTGACGCTTGCTTTTAAAGGATACATGTCATTATAACATTCTATGGTCAAACTGAACTTTGCACATTTTAAGCTCTGACTTTTATTGACGAGTCACGACTCTGTCGTTGCTGACTCACATTTTCTTGACACTTCGTCATTAACTTTTGACGAGAAGTATTCAGCGAAATTTGGTTTGATTGTGTGGTTGTTAGCATTTAGACAAAAACATGAGCACTCATGTAATATTTATTTTATTATGTACTGTGGTGACCAAAACAGCATCCTGTTGACTGGAGGCCAAAGTGCTGAGTTTAACTTTTCAAAGTGGCTGGGGTTTTGCTGACATGTCTGTCCAACGCTGTAACTTTCAGGTCACTGTTTTTAAAATAAAAGTTTTTATAAAAACTGCTTGGTTCGTTGAGAAGAGGATACATGAACATTTGTAAATCACCATAAACAGCTGATAGATTAATACTGCCATGTGTGGATACTAGGGTCTCTTAAAAGTAATAATGTAGTGTAACGAGACAATTCTGTCATAAATCAGGCAACTGTTAAAATGTTTCGGCATACAACAAATTATTGACTATACAGTAGTATTCTCGATGTCATCTTCCGGCTTGTTGTTGCTAAGTGACTATATGGGACTATGGGAGAAAGGTAACTTCCGACACTGTTTATTGCAGTGCAGAAAACAGCATATTAAGATCATTTTCTTCACAACGTCAACATGCCGAAGAGCTGCTAGGTGACTGGCTGTACAACTTACAAGACTAGACATCCATCCATCCATTTTCTCCGAAAGAAGGACGCAGTCTCTGGTGAAATTCAGACGGATCCTTGACATTGGAACAGTCCTACGACAGGGTTCGATGATGTAGCCTCCTTGAAATTCGGCCATTTGAGGATCCTTCCTTGACTTTGAGAAACACCCTGCGTCATAATTTATGACAGAGGGATTACATCTGTACTAGTCTTTACAGTGTTTTTTTTTGTGGGGGGGAATCCTGTATAGTATATCTTTACGTAAAGGAAATAACACAAGATGATGTCATGGAAAAAGAGGCAGAATGCCAATAGAGAACACATTTGAATTTAAATCACGTAAAAGTGCAAAATATATAAAAGTGCATATTAAAATGAAAATCTGATTATTCTAAAATAACTCTTTAAATATATAATGAGAGTAAAGTTAAAGTAAAACATCATAAATTAGTAATATAAAGAGGAAATATGAAGTGACGTGATAATGGAAAAGAAAAACATTGTTAAATGCAGGCTGTCTTGTAAAAGTGAGTTTTAAGGAGGCATTAAAAGCTGCAGTGGAGTCTGTTGATCTCACACTGAGTGGAAGGCTGTTCCAAAGCCGAGGGTCCATTTCCATTTTCATCCGCCATGTCACGGGGGCAGCAGGCCAAGCAAAGCACCTCAGACATCCCTCTCCCCAGCAACACTTCTCAGCTCCTCCTGAGGGACCCCAAGGCGTTCCCAGGCCAGATGAGATATACAATCTCTCCAGCGTGTTCTGGGCCTGCCCCTGGGCCTCCTACCAGTGGGACGTCCCCGGAACACCTCTAACAGGAGGCATCCTGATCAGATGCCTGAACCACCTCAACTGACCCCTTTAAACATGAAGGAGCAGTGGCTCTACTCCGAGCTCCCTCCGGATGTCTTAGCTCCTTACCCTATCTCTAAGGCTGAAACTCATTTCGGCTGCTTGTATCTACGATCTCATTCTTTAGGTCATTACCCAGAGCTCATGACCATAGGTGAGGGTTGGGAAGTAGATGGACCAGTAAATCGAAAGCTTCGCCTTCCACCTCAGCTCCCTCTTCACCACGACAGTCCAGCGCAGTGCCTGCATCACTGCAGAAGCCGCACAAGCGGGAGACCTGTCTCAAGCGCCATTCTACCGTGAGATACTTGAACTCCCTCACTTGGGACAGTAACTCTCTCCCAACCCGGAGGGGGCAATCCACCGTTTTGTGGCAGAGAACCATGGTTCAGATTTGAAGGTACAGATTCTCATCCTGACCGCTTCACACTCAGCTGCAAACCTCCCCAGTGCATGCTGGAGGTCATGGTGTGATGAAGTCAACAGAACCACATCATCTGCAAAAAGCAGAGATGCAATTCTGAGGCCCCCAAACCGGACCCCTACCTCCCCCTGGCTGCGCCTTGAGATCCTGTCCATGGGTATCGCAAACAGAATCAAGGCTCCGTCATTAAAAACGCACGGTCACTCTTGCTTTTCAACCTAGTTGGTGGAACGGCATCAAAGTTTTGATCAGCTGATCTTAGGGGTCTAGTCTTGGCAATAATTTTGGCCTCTAAACTACTTTACATGATGAGTTTATTTGCTTTGAGTGGTTATATTACATTCAAATAAACAGAACCGACAAAGACTCCTCACACAAATGTAACAGGTTTTAATTTAATTTACTGAATACAAAATCCATCAACAGTATGACTTAAAAAATACATACAGTTGAAATGAATAATGCAGCAAAACAACATGCAAACCACATGAGCAGCCTGGAGGAACTCAACACAACATCAAGTTTTAGACCAAGATAACAAAGAAAACATTTAATATTTAAAAGCAGCCTCTGCAGTTCAAATCATGCACTTACATCAGTCATTTACAGACGCTGTGGTGGACAGAGCTCACTATAATAAACACTTAAAGAAGGTAGAGAGTCCTGTCCTTTAAAATACACGAGAGCAGTTTCATAGCAGCGTCGTCACTGGATATGATATTCATCTTAAAGTACTGACATTTTACCGGTTAAATAATGTTCATACAGTATATACAAGAATGCACAATCACCTTACACCTGACTGGAAACCATGATACTCAACTGATATGGTGACCAAAGAGAACCTGTCGAAAAGTCCCAACCACATAAATAGATACGTCAAACCACAAGCCAGAGACTCCGATGCATAAAGGTAAAGCAGAAAAAAAAACTGTACATGTAAAGTGTGCAGAATAAATCTCGTCAACACAGAAAAGCAAGGTGATAATCTGTAGGAGGAAACGTTTCCAGGAATGTACGCTACACTCAATCTGACTAATAACGGTCTGATGCATGGTGCTGGCTGTTTTCTGAGGAGAAGAACGAGGAGCCTCCAGCTGCTTTTGATAGACTCTTGATGGGACGCACTACACCGTGACACCTCGCGGGACTTTTTGCTACGGAGGTCAGGCTGCCTGTCTGTGTCTGTAAAGGCAGTCTGAGAGCGGTTGCTGTAACACCGACGAGTCTGCTGAGGGGGGCTTGGATCACCAGGACGGTAAGAAGTCTCCTTCACTTCAGCTGGCTGGGGGGCATTGTGGGATGTGCTGGGCAGGCATCCTCCACTGATCCACAGGTCAAGGGTGTTCACCAGTGGCGTGGCCACGCTCTCATTCAGGCTGCGGACTGGAGTTCCAGAAGAAAAAGTTGGGCAGTTTGAAGAGTGAATCTCTGCGGCCTGGATCCGGCAGGGTCAGGGTCTCCGGAGCTGACTTCTTCCTGGGGCGCTCCTTTGGCACTGACAGGAACTCTGGGGCTTCTGTGGTGAGGGGAGTGGACGGGGCGCTGTTGGGGCCGCTGCGGGTGCTGGATGGCAGAGGGGTCTCTGAGATGGAGATGGTAGGGGGGAAGGTGCCGATCTTCAGGTTGGTGGCTTCTTGCGTGGCTCGCTCGTACTCTCGGACTTCCTCCATGGTCATGTCTATTGGAACGGAGGCATTACACACTTGGTGAATCATTGCTCAATGTCTTATGATTAACATAAATTAATAATTAACTGAAATTACACAAAAGACACAACAGAAGTTATTGGCCACTGCCATCAGTGAATGTCATCTTATTTGCCGACAGGCCGATGGCAATCAACAAGTTGAACATCGGCTCCTACTGATACGTCATACAGATCGGGCTAAAATAGCATGTAAACTTTATACCTCTTGTGTTTACATTGATCTTAAGATAAATAACGCTCAACTGAATCCTTGCCTTTCATGGCCATTGACAAAAATGATCAGGGCTTAGCCACATTATCAGACTGCAATCTTTAGATGAGTCAGCGTCAACTAACCCATGTTTTATGAGCGCTGCCATCACTAATAAACTTACCAATCCACTCATCCACCCAGGCAAACGCCTGCCTGTGTCCTAAAAGCAGGACATCCCGAATCACCTGAGCAGAATTAGAAAAAAAGAGAGGAAGAGGAAGCATAAGACAGAGATCAGAATGAGTTAACGCTGAAGGCTGTTAAAAGTTTCAAAACATTTTGAAACTGCAAATGTTTCCATTCAGCCCGAAGCAATGTGATTAATATGAGTCACACCCAGTGCTACCAAGTGAGTAATAGCCCTGCCTGTGTGTGTGTACGCCTCGGGCAAGGAGAGCACAGGGACAGTTCACCCCAGGGACAGATGCTGCAGAGGCGAAATAGATTTGGTAAATAGGAGATAGGGAGTTTAAACTGTGCAGCCAAAGGTAAAGGCAATCTATGGGGTGTAAACAGGGCAGATGCTGCAGAAGGCCAAGACCGAACATCTGATCTGGTTCACGGCCAACTGGTTGTGTATCACATGTTTTCAGAGCAGAAAATGAAACGCCTGTAGCATTGACACTAGGTCACAAAGTTTCACTGAGTAAGGAAAGGGTATTTCTGAGAGGGAAAACTTTCTCATCCTGACCTTGTGTACAAACTGCTCCACGCGTGTCTGCAGGCCCCAGACCTCAAATTTGACTGTGACCAGTTTGTAGGAGCACATGATGGGGTCTTGGGTGTCGATCCATCCTTCCTGCAGGGGGCCTCGGTTAGTCTTCTTGGACTTAAAATACCGCAGGTCCTAAAAGAGCATGAGACACCAGTTCAGATAAATAAGAAATTCCCCCTTTGAGAAAACAAAATTTTAACTCAGATCTGCAAAAAGGGAGAACCAAGGATTTCTTAAAGAATGGATTAGTTGTTTTTTAACCTTTAACAAATAAACATTTTATTCCCCATCATTTTTCTCTTTGCAGCATCATTTAGCCTCATCAAAGCTCTAATTCGATATACCTGTAATTCTACTTTTACCAATAAGTTTCAAATTATTTATGCAATGCATGCGCATGCGGTTTTCCTTCAAGATATCTACAATACAGTTGCAGATATCCACAAATTGGAATTGTGGATATCTAAACTGAATTATCGGTAGTTATAATTCCAGTTAAAGATGCCACAAACTTTTTTGTGTCCACCAGAGCTTTTGTCCGTGAACTGAATGTTTATTTCACCACCATAAGCTGTCTCCAATATTATTTCTGAGAATTTGGCCTCACAACCACAGACCACATGCAACCACACCAGCTCAGGACCTCCACGTCCAACGTCTTCACCTGCAAGATCGTCTGAGACCGGCCACTTCTACAGCTGATTCAACAATTGGTTTGCACAACCAAAGAATTTCTGCACAAACCATCAAAAAGTATCTCAAGGAAGCTCATGTTCATGCTCGTCATCCCCACCAGGGTCTTAACCTGACAGAAGTTTGTCATTGTAACCAACTTGCGCGGCTGTGTGGCCATTTGGATGTACTGCTAAATTCACAGAAACAACATTGGAGACAGCTTATGGTAGTAAAATGATCATTCAGTTCATGGGCAACAGCTCTGGTGGACGTTCCTGCAGTCAGCATGCCAATGGCATACTCCCTCAAAACTTGTGACATCTGTTGCATTGTGTTGTGTGATCAGACTGCACATTTTGGAGTGGCCTTTTATTGTGACCATCCACAGGCACACCTGTGGTGTAACGATGCTGCTTAATCAGCATCCTGATATGCTACACCTGTCAGGTGGATGGATTATCTTGGAAAAGGAAAAGTGCTCGCTAATGTGGATTTTAACAAATTTGCGATCAGAATTTGAGAGAAATACATTTATTGAGTGCATTAAAAAAATCTTAGATCTTTAACTTTAAACAGAGAAAATGGGAATGTTTGCCTGATGATAAGCTCTTTTTATTTCAAGGCATTGTCTAACTATCTTATCCACAACAGCAGCCACTGTTGCATCTGCTGACACTGCTGAAATGCTGTGCTCAGCTGACATACAATGGGAAGCCTCACATGAGCAACATCATGCACAATAATTTGGTCTAGTCATAATGATGTTTGAGATATCTGCAAGTCTTGTTTGGAGTAGTCAAAACTGAATTACAGATATCTGCAATTGTCATTTGGGATGTGTGACGAGTTAAGTGTTGTTTTTAGTGACATCAATGCTGACGTCTGTTTCCATCACACACACACACACACACACACACACACACACACACACACACCTCCTCCCTGCTTACAGTACAGGATCACCTGCATGCATTACCAGCCTCATGCAGAGCACAAGCCAGGCCGCGCAGTGGGAGTCCCTAATCACAAACTTTACATGCATTAATCACCGCTCCCTATAGGCTCATTATGCTTTAGTGCTCATTTGTCGTAGGGTCACGTGTCTGACTGTGACAGAGTGTGTGTGGGGGTGATACACAACTCTCTCCATCCCTGCTGGGAAAACACTTGCGGTGGAGGAGGAAGAGGCCTGTTGGGTTTTGCCTGTCCTTAAAATGTGTCAGAAAGTTTTTTGGCAGACAAAAAAAGATGAGAAATAATAATGAGAGCTTGTCCCTTTTTAAATGTTTTTATAAAATAGCATGTGAACTAATATTTTACCTTAATAGCTTCCAGATTTTCTCTGGAATAAATATGCTGCTGCTAGAAGTGACATTTCACTGTGATAGAGCTTTTTTCTAAAATATCATATACCAAAGTGTATCTAATCAAAAAATACAATTGTAGATGTAAAAAAATATCAGTTTTGAAAATACAATCAAGTGAATAACATTAACATAATAACATCATCTATATGCTTTCTTGCTGAGAGTTAGATGAGAAGGTCGATACCACTCTCATGTCTGTACCAGTCTGTTATCTCCAGTTGATGCAAAAATGCCTCACACCTGCATTCTTTCTAATGACCAGCAGGGGGCGACGCCACTGGTTAGAAAAAGAAGTCCCATTGTACTGAAGTCAAATAGAACATGATCCTATTCTCGCTTAGTTTATCACCTCAATAAACTTCCCTGATGGGTTTCTGGTCTCAATCATTTAGGGTAAAATTGTAAATAAAGCAGGGTATGCTTTGGGGCGTGGCTAGCTTGTGATTGACAGGTTGCAATCACGGCAGCATCATCAGGTTCTCAGTCAGATCCACCCCTCACTCCTCCACAGCTTCATCCTTTTGTCTTATTATGGTCACTTCTGGCTCCAAAAACCAGGCTTGTGACGGCCAAAATGCCAACTCGCGGCTTCAAAACAGTTGTCCACAAACCAATGGGTGATGCCATGGTGGCTACATCCTCTTCTTTTACACAGTCTGTGGTCTGTACTCTAAATATGAAGCTACAGCCAGCAGCTGCTTAGCTTAGCTTAGCATAAAGATATGGAAACAAGGGGAAACAGCTAGCTTGTGTGATTTCATGGGGGATAACATACTGGGCACCAGGAGTTTCCACTGGTCACCTGGCAACCTTACAGTGACAACAAAACTCAAGGACATGATTGTGTCTGGCCAGGGAATAGTCCAGCACCCAATCCCTTAAAACTACAATGCGTTGTTTTTACATTTCAAGTGCTATATCGTAGGCAACTGGACTTGCATTTCCTGAAGATGCTTTGCCTCTCATCCAAGAGGCTTCTTCAGTTCTAACAGACTGGTGTGGGCACACAGGCTTTAAACTCTGTGTGGGTGTGGACCCTACAGAGTCGTCAAGGTCACGATGGGACTAGGTGTGAATGAATGTGAAGCCGTCTGGGGAGGGATCCCAAGACTGCAGCCCTGTGTCCTTTCATGGTGGAACCCGAGCGTAAACTGTTAGGAATGAACCTGTGTTGCCTCCATCTCAGATTGAAATGGTTCCTGTAATCGGCCAGCTTCCTAGATGTTTGCTCGGATTCCAGTACCAGTGGATGTATGGATTAAACAAACAAGATGTAGCATGTTAGAGATGTTAGTGGGTAGACTTTATTACTTTAAGACCACAGACTGTAAAAACGGGATGTCGCTACTGTGACATCATCCACTGGTTTGTGGACTCCCGCTTTGAAGCCTCGAGCTGGCATTTCGGTCGTCGCCCTCTTGTTATTTGGGGGAGCCAGAAGTGACCATGTTTGGGCGAGAGGGTGGAGCTGTGGAGGAGTGAGAGGTGGCTCTGACTGAGAAGCCGAGGACACTATCAGCAAACAGCCTGTTACTCAAAGCAGCCCGTCCTTAATTATGCGTAAATATAAGTCTTAGTAAAATGTAAACAGGTGAGTTAGTAATTCACCCTCTGTACAGTTGTCATGAACGCTGAAATTAGCCATAGATCCCAAAACTGTTTTTGCACCAGGCTGTAAACATGTTTATTTCTGCTCTTACAGTGGGCATTTTAACACTGACTGGCTTCTGGAGCCAGCCTCTAGTGGCCATTTGAGGAACTGCAGTTTTAGGCACCTCCACGTTGGCTTCATTTTTCAGCCCCAGAAGTTGCCGCTTGTTTAACACAGAGCAATACATATCTTTCATTTTTTAATTAGCAAAGCATTTTGAGCTGTTTTGTGTATGAAAGATGGCCATTTAAATAGTTCCCCCCCCCCAATAAATTAGCCTGCAAATATTTTTGAATGAATGAGAAAACTCTGTGGTGTTGTTTGTGTCCAGCACATAAAGCAAAACACACACACACACACACACACACACACACACACACACACACACACATGCTATTCGTGCATTAATGCTTTCGAGGTGTCTGACCACACTGGTAACTATGATTCATTCATGTATGAAAGTGGTCTCTGTGGTGTGTTTGTGTAACCAAACACCCACCTGTCTTTAAATAAAATGATATTTACATCGTCCATGTGACATCTACTTTTAGCTCTGGGCGGCATCTCGGTGCTATTTTTAGCCCTGACAGGATAAAAGCAGAAGACCATAAAGCCTGCTGGGAGGTGTGTGAATATGTGTGTGTGTGTGTGTGTGTGTGTGTGTGTGTGTGTGTGGGGTGTCAATAATAAAACACCACGGCAGTGACATCATGACCCCACTTGATTATTAATAGCTGGGCTTTTTATGTCCATCACACCCTGACAGACGGGCACACACACATGCATACAAATGTCAAATCACCACGGCTAATGTCCATCACCTCCCCCTCACATAAACATGCATTTCCATCACTGTGAGGAGGCAGATGGCCAGCTGGTGGTCAAAAATGAGGCATCGCTGCAAGAGAAAGATAACACTCTCCTCTCTTTATCTGCTCACACGCCATCCCTTCTCTTCATTTGTTGGCTTCTCTCCTCCTCCGTTGTTCTTCTGTTTGTCACTCCTCTATTTTCTCCATCTTACCCTTTCACTATCTCTGCTGAGTGTGTGCTTTCATTCACTCTGTGCTCATACAAACATAAACGTGTGTATCCTGAGGTCAGGGACTTGACTCGCCTCACCTCCGACTCCTTGTAGTGGCGCTCGGGGATCTCATCATAAGCGATGTCCACGAAACACATCTCTGTTTCCTCCTCTCTGGGCTCGTTGCCAAAGATCTGTGTGAGGAGGACAGCCAAATCAATAATGCACTTCAGGGGTTGACGAATGTTGTGGGGTGGTGCGCTGTGATTTCCCCAGTCACTTGGTAGTGAAGGGGCAGCTTCACACACTTACTTACAGAAAGCGGGGGGGGGGGGGGGGGGGGGGG